CGGATGAAGTGCTTCTTATTCTTACCCAAAAATACAAAATGGAAGAAAGAGTTAAAACTGAACACAATCTTGCTAATCAAGCTGTGTATGAACATTTTTTTTATATATATATTTATTTGCTTCTTTTCCATTTTGTATTTACTTGTACTTTTACTTTCAATACTTAAGTACGTTTAAGATAAAAATACTTTTTGTACTTAAGTACAATAAATATCACATACTTTAAGACTTTAAGTACTAAAATGGTGACTTCAACTTCTACTAAAGTCATTTTCTGGTAAGATATCTGTACTTTTACTTGAGTATGGCTTTCGGGTACTTTATACACCACTATATATATGTGTGTGTGTGTGTGTGTGTGTGTGTGTGTGTGACCCTGTCTGTGAGGCTAAAGTCTCAAAATCTAATTATGAGATAACAAGCATCAAAGTTTGATATCAACCATTAATTTCACTATGATTTAAATCTTTGACATGGCCTTACTCAGTCAATATTAAAGATATAAAGGTTATATTTTTACAGAATGTTCTACATCTTTATGAAGGATGGTTTTATGTAGAAAATGACTTTAGCTGGGTTTTCACAGGCAGGGTCACATATGTCCTTCCATAAAATATAGTTATTAAGGGGGGGAAAATAAACGTTTTCTTTTAGCCTTTTAATTTAGATTAAACTTTAGGTTTTTATATAAACTACTGTATAAAAGTTTGGAATAATTAAGTTTATATATAGGTGCTCGAGAAACATTTCTGATTATTATCAATGTTGAAAACAAATATTTGTGTGGAAACCGTGATGCATTTTATTTTTCAGGATTCACAGATGAATGGAAAGTTCAAAAGAACAGCATTTATTTGAAATAGAAATCTACTGTAACATTATAAATGTCTTTACTTTCAGTTTTGATCAGTTTAATGCATCCTTGCTGAATAAAAGTATTTTATTCAGTAAAAAGTAATTTATTTTTCTTTTTTAATTGTACTTCCCTCAAACCTTTGAATGGTCGTGTATCACGGTTTCATTGAATCGTTCACTCATTTCTTTCTACAGCTCACTGACTGAGTGTTTTGCTGTATCTGTGTTGATCAGGGTTGTTCTGGATCGATCCAAATCTGGGCTGCAGGTCTGACGCCATCCAGGTGTTCTGTAACTTCACCGCAGGTGGACAGACCTGCTTGAACCCCGTTACAACGGATAAGGTACTGTGATATACATATAACATTACTAGTACTGTACATACAGCTGATACATGCATCTAAACACTTATATGAACCAGGGTTACTATCGAAAACTAAAATTAAAACCATTAAAAAACACTTGTTACTTGAAATAAAATAAATATGAACTGAAATAAGAAAAATTACAATATTTTTTATTTCAGCTAGTTGCCAAGACAGCATCAAATTAAATAAAAATTCATTAAACTATAAAACTATAATGACAAACAAACAAAAACAAAAAATACTACATTTTAACAAAAACTAAAATGAAAACAAAAAATATTATTTTTAGACATAGTCGTAACTAAAAGCATTAAAAAAAAAGTCATTATTTGAAATAAAATAAACATTAACTGAAATAAAATAAAATATTAAAAAAAATAAACTTATTTTATTTCAACTAGTTGCCAAAGTAACTGTAACGGGGCTGACGAGACGTGAGACGTGTGGATCCATCTGCAAGATTTTATTTAAGAGACGTGGTCATA